GTTGCGAAAGGGGTTAAATCAATTTCTAAACAGAGATCAAAGACATTAGATCATGTTGAGAAATTGCTTTTACTTTGGATAACTGAAAAACAGTGTGCTGGAGACAGCATATCAGAAGCAATTATTTGCGAGAAAGCTAAAAAGATACATGCTGATGTCATGAAAAATCAAGCAGGAACTAGCCAGGAAAGCGAGGTGTTTAAAGCCAGCCATTTTTTTTTTACATGAGAACGGATTAATCATTTTTACATTTCTTCTTATGGGAAAGGTTGGTTTGGTATACATCCAAACATCAGGAACAGATTAAGGTCGTATATCGAGGTTCCACTGTACATATATTAAGCTGTTGCCTGCGACTTCACCCGTGTGGATTTTGCAAGCAAATCCCATTTATATTCAGTATTTCAACAACCATAGTAATTGTTATATAACACCTACTGCTGAGAATGATGAGAATCAAACGAACTGTTTTCAATTTGATTAATTTTCTGGAATGTTTACAGTCATTCTATAATCGAACCAATATGCAATTACAAATTTGAATTTAAAACAGTTCAAACATTTGGTTAAAAAATTGAAATACAGTAAAATCTGTCTATGACAACCACCCACAGTTCCTTCAAAAAGTGGCCTTTTAGACAGGTGGTGCTGTAATACCATATTTCTGTATGTATTTGCATGCTTTTTAGCCATTTTTACTAAGCAAAACTCAAGGTGAGCAAAAATAAGCAAATTTTTTCAACGATAGGGCTATATTGGTATTGTATTTTATTCATATCGAATAACTTGATTTACAGGAGTCATCCTGATTTTATAAGACAGATTTAATACCAATATTTTAAAGATTAATACAATAATTGCATTTTCTCAATTATAATGCACACTTTCTTTTTTCCAACTGAATTAATTCGACTTGGTTCTTTTCATTCGCTCCTCAGTTACATGTATTACGTCATCGATATACATTCTACATCACTTTGGTTTTGGTATTCGTTAGTTTAATGTTATTTAACTTAAGAAAATATTAAAAAATACAGTATTTTTAAAGTACAATAAGAAAAATTATTAATTAATAAAACGATTTTATTATTTTTTCTCATGATACGATTTCATTACATTCCGCGATTGTCATTGCGTAATTGAAAAAGTAAGGTTGCATGTAAAACTGATTTTTGCATTAATGCATTTATTGTTTTTTGAATATTTTGTGTGCAAAAATTACTTGGATATTATTTTTCTAAAAATATTGTGGAAATAAGGCAGGTTGATACAGAAACTATTTATCGTATAAGTACTGTATATGAGCTTCAAAATAAATAAATAAATAAAAATAAATTTTATCAAACAATAAGATCATTCGATTAATTGTATTGTCTACAATATTTTATACCCCAAGGAAAATACTGTAGGTCTACGGTAAAATAAATTTCGTTTTCCCACAGTTAAACTTTGCCACTAATTGCTGTTGTGATAACTTTAACACAATCTTTTAATGACAGCATTTTGCATTTATTTCTTTTTTCGGACAATTTTGAACAAACTGAAATGAATTTCCTTTGTTGCTAGACTAATTCATTAACACCAAGGGTGTTAATGAATTAGTCAAACTTCAAGGGTGGGAGAAATGCCCGAGGTGGGTTCGAACAAGAGTTTAGACTAATTCATTATATTAGGAGGGGAAAACATTGTTGAGACGGGTTTGAACAATAGTTTAGACCAGATATATTCGTGAAAGTGGTCATTTATTACAGTTGTTGCATGTTGTTTTGGACCAAAAATTTATGCCTGCGGTTGCGTTACACAGGTTGTCATTTAATACAGGTAACTTATATGAAGACTCTATGGATAAACTATTCAGCGCCAGAAATTTTTGCCCATTTTGACAGGTGCCCGTCAAATGCAGGTGGTTGCCTAAGCAGTTTTCACTGTGTATAAAAATATTTATAACAATGTCTGAAATGTTATCAATTTAATACACCTAAGTACTCAATGAAGACTAAATGTAGTTGAAAACAAAGTCGCATCTAAAATAGTACAATAGAAACCGTTCTTCAAGTTAAGCCTTAATCCTTTTCCTCTCCCCCACAAGGGAAATTTCGAAAAATCCTTTCTTGGTGTGCATTTTCATGATGTACCCTAACTGTGTACCAAATTTCACCTCTTTAGGTTCAGCAGTTTGCTCTAGGCAATGATGAATCAGTCAGTCAGTCAGTCAGGACAAGTAATTTTATATATTTAGATTAAATCTAAACTACTGGATTGGCTTTTGGGCTATTATCCAGAGAGGGTGTCCCATTATCTTTTCTTTCAGAATTTTCTAAATTACTTTATAACTATTCAGTTACACTTTTGTATAAAAATAATTTAATTTACTTCATTGAATATTTAAATTTTAACAAATTTAAATATTCATAACNATTATCCCATTGTCATCTACAGTTGCCATCTTTAAAAACTGTTTCATTGGCCAATGAAACAGTTTTTAAAGCAACCAGGGGGAGGGGAAGGTAATGAGAAGATGTACTTCTTTTTTAATGCTTTCACAATTGGCATGCCTCATAAATGCTGTAATTCCATTATATTTAACACTAAATGAGGTTCAGCAAATGATGCAATGAGCCAAACGAATATCATCATCATGTGAGAATCAAACGAGAAAAAGGAAAACAACTCAAGGATGACCTCGTGTGTTGATTTTCTGACCTGAGAGTGTGTCAACTTACGCTTTCTCAGCATTGGTAGTGACACCTTTCCCATGACTTTTAGTCACCTTTAAGATATTTGTTGCTTTGAATATAATGAAGAATGGCCAATTCCAGTCAGTCGTTGCCCATTCTTCATCCCTTTAAGACCTGTGTGCTATTTACCATCTGAAGTTTCATTTGTGTCTTCGGATTTCTTGTCATACTTCTGCTTGTGTGCTGCTACTTCCCTGAATTGTTAATCAACATCATGAACTTATCTCCTGTTCTCCTCAACATGTGATTTCTAGTTCAAACTCGTAAGGTACCAAAATTTGTGAACACTCTCTCTCTCCACGATGATAATGCAGGTAAACACGAGTACTATGTCATCTTTAGTTGTGTAACGTATTGTACAAACCTTCATGCCATCTAATAAATATTTAAGTGTAGTAAATTGTGTCAAGTGATTCCTTTCCAACTGGATCTCATCATTTCCTACTCCATCCTCTTATTCCTAGCCTCACATGACACTGCATTATTGCCATCCAGAAAAACACTCAAACTCTTGTAATAAGCATAACCTTCTTGGTGTCAAAAATTTCAGAGTGTAATCACTTAAATTTGGCAATAAGAAGACTAAAAAGACCATGTAAAACTCCACTGGGATCAATTAGGCATAGCCTGAAGCTCAAACCAGTCTCAGAGAAAAACACCAAACTAATGTTATCAGAATAAAACATCTAAATAGAACTTNATTATCCCATTGTCATCTACAGTTGCCATCTTTAAAAACTGTTTCATTGGCCAATGAAACAGTTTTTAAAGCAACCAGGGGGAGGGGAAGGTAATAAGAAGATGTACTTCTTTTTTAATGTGCTATTACCATCTGAAGTTTCATTTGTGTCTTCGGATTTCTCATTATCCTTCTGCTTGTGTGCTGCTACTTCCCTGAATTGTTAATCAACATCATGAACTTATCTCCTGTTCTCCTCAACGTGTGATTTCTAGTTCAAACTCGTAAGGTACCAAAATTTGTGAACACACTCTCTCCATGATGATAATGCAAGTAAACATGAATACTATGTTATCTTTAGTTGTGTAACGTATTGTACAAACCTTCATGCCGTGTAGTAAATTGTGTCAAGTGATTCCTTTCCAACTGGATCTCATCATTTCCTACTCCATCCTCTTATTCCTAGCCTCACATATGACACTGCATTATTGCCATCCAGAAAAACACTCAAACTCTTGTAATAGGCGTAACCTTCTTGGTGTAAAAAATTTCAGAGTGTAATCACTTAAATTTGGCAATAAGAAGACTAAAAAGGCCATGTAAAACTCCACTGGGATCAATTAGGCATAGCCTGGACCTCAAACCAGTCTCAGAGAANTTATGAATAATTGTTTTTTTAAAAACAGGGCTTCTTATTTAAGAAAAATCATAAATCAGGCATGATTGCACACTCTACATTACTCTCTGATTCAATCAACTGTACAAATGAGTCAAAATAATTCAAGTAATCTGATTATTCAATATTTGCACAAAGCCGAACTTTTCAAAAAATGTCTGACTCAATTTTTTTTGTTTTGATAAATTCATTCCAGAAGCAACAGATCTGTGTCTATGCAATTAATTTACCAATTATGTAAAGTAATTGCATACAAATATGTTATGTTGATTCAGTTAGTTTAGAATAACTACTTGGTGAACAAACAATAACTTAAATTTATGGCCATAATTCAGATTCATTAAGCATGTAATTTCACAGATATTTAATGTGTAGTTATTTGAAAACTACTTTGTTGGTTATCCTTTATTCCAATAAAACTACATATCCTTTACTATACAAATTCTAATGTTTTTTTAAAAATAATATACTTACACATAATCTTCATATGTGGCTAACCAATTAGCAGGTGTATTTTCATTTGGCTTTCCATGTTTATCCAGCAAACCTTCGACAATCATTTTCTTTTTTGCAGAAGCCTAAAATTATTTATTATATATAAATATTGCAAACTTACTAGTATTTTGCATTATTTATGCAAAAATATACCTACAACAGGACCCAGACCCCATTTTCGGGGATATGTATCACGTTCCATGACAACCCTCTTAATTTTTGCCACTGCTCCATGATTACAGCTGGCAATTGTAGCCGTTGTCATAAGAGCTATGGCTGTAAGCATTATAGGTTAAAATTATTCTATTGTAGCCATAATATAATCCAAAATTAAAATAAATGATTCATTTTTTAAAATTTACCAAGACAAATAGCTTCTCCTTTTGTCGTAATTAAAACAATTTCTTCATTCACTTCGATTCCATCTTCATAACGCAAGACTCCCGGAAGCATAATTTTGGCACCATAACATATGGCATTTACCTAAAAATTATTAGATATTTAATCAGTTATACTGAAATCAAACCTATAAATTTTTTAATTTTCATGAATTTATAAATCAATCAATAGAATAGGTCAAAATTCCTCTTTTTAATATAATTTATGATACTGTAGTTATCTACATGAAAATTAACAATTATTATTTCAATTATAATTTAATTTTTGTAACTTTTTCACATATCTAATATGCATATAAACAGAACAAAATATTCTACAACATACTACAAATATATAGACAATTTCTTACATCACATTTACTATACTAATAATGGTTATAAATTGTATCTGACATGTTCATTTCTTAGAATAGATGAATTACACTATAAATACTAGTTACTGAACAATATTACAATCTTAGATTTTCATATAAGATGATAATTAATTTCTACTTATGTTACAGTAACACAATTAAAGCACAGGAGAATCAACGTTTTATGTTCTTCTCTGCCAAAACCTGAGAAGAACATAAAAGGACATACAACAATTTGTGTTCTTGTCATTTTTAATACCAGGCCAACTCAAATCATTTCATGGGCTAATTTGATAAATCCAAACTCTTTTCTAATTGCAGCCTGTGAACAAGGGAAAAAATGCCTCAATCTACCAGATTTAGTGGAAATTACTAAATTGGTAACTCTGGATAAATAATGTGCTCATTATACACTGCTCCTTGTTAGAAACCCTTCATGTTGGTTAACTGTAAGATGTTTGTGTGGTGAAGAGATACAAGTAACATTCCTCTGGTGGCAATAATTATAAAGCTTCATACATATCATATGGTTACTGTGTGTTCAAATCTATATATTTTATTGAAATTACTGACAGTAAGATACCTACTTTAATCATGTGAAACAAGCATCTATCTTTCTGGATATTTAATTGAATGTAGTGCAACTTGCACTACGTTCAATTCATCAGTAGGCTACAAAAAAAAAAAACCACCAGCAGGCCACACATAGCTCAGGGATTGGCCAAACCTGTTTAGTACAGTCAAACCCCATTGATACAAAGGACTTAAAATTGGCACTTTGTAATTTTGTGTTAAAAAATAAAATATCAACAGTTCTATCATCAAATGGCAATAAAATTTTTTCTGTTTTTTTGTTTGGAGATTTTAAAAATAAACTTCTGTGTTGTTACAAACATATACTTTATTGAGATAAAGAGGTTTGAAGACATAAATAATTGTAGAAATATGCATCCTTATTAACTGGATTAACTGGAAAAGACCACTGGCCATGCAGCCTTCTAGTTGGTATATTTCAACTGATTATTCTTCAACATAACTTTTATTATTACAGTGGCTTGAAGAAAGAATCAATGCTTATTTTTCAATATCAATTAGTGTTGGTAAAAAGAGGATTAAAGCTAATAGATATAACAGGATGACCTAGCTACCAAACTGAATCCAGATACTACAAAACTTTCCAAATTTAAAAATAACTTAGTATCTTTGAAATCCAAGCAAATCTGTTTGTAATTTTAAAATTAAACTGATTACAATAGTTAATACTGCAATTCAATTGTTTTGTTATTTCCATTATTAAAGCAATTAAAAACAAGAATTATTTCATAAAACTTCCAAACCACTCTGACTCCATTAACTTCTAGCTTCCAATGTGCACATCAACTGTTTTAACTAATCATTTAGCATCACTGCAGCATTCAAAGTGTTGACTACAAAACAGAAAATATAATTTTTCGAGTTAGTGTGAACAGCATTAATGGGGCACATACCCACATTGCCAACAAAGATAATAATATCCCTTGATCATGATAGTTTGTGTGTTGCCACTGGTTCTTGTGACTTTGGGAAATTGAAGTAGTGGGCTTTGTATTAAACGACATAACATAATTGTTATTGAATTTACAAAAGCACAACACACTTTGTATTATATATTAGCCAATATTTTGTGTTAACCAAATTCATGAACATTGAAATGCCTAGCTTTGTCCATATGACCACAAAGTCAAGCTCGGATTTAAAATATAACAATATTATATTAAATAAATTTTATATATAAATANCTGGACCTCAAACCAGTCTCAGAGAAAAACACCAAACAAATGTTACATTAGTATCAGAATAAAACATCTAAATAGAACTTCACAGTGGTGCTATAATTTTATGTAATAATTTTGTTTATATTTTAAACTGTTTTGCCAAAACTCAAATATTTTTGTTGACCACCAGCCAAACCGACCCAATATCAGTCAAGTGGCAACCCTAACATCACTCTATCTCCTAAAATGAGACAATACTGACTGAGTGCAATCTCTCATCGCTCAAGCTATGCAAAAGAAAAGTCTGCTGTAACAGATGTCACCTCATGTATGGGGTGTCACATATTCTCTGTTTTGTAGATATGAAAGTTTCCAATAAACAAATACTTAATTGCTAATAATATAATTTAAGAAAAAAAAAAAACAATTTCTGATGGAGTGGGATTTGTTTAAAAGATTTGTTGCTGTCAGATGTAAGAATATGTCATTGGCTAAAGTTTATAAAATCATAGTTGTAAATGACCTTCTCTCAGATTACTCTCACATACCAACAATTATTGAATTTGTTCTTTCATACCCAGTGTTGAGTGTGAAAGGTTTCAGTGAGATGACATTAACAAAAACTCCAATTGGAAACTGTCTTGATGTAAAAAATGTCAGCAACTTGTTAAACATCTCCATAAATGGCCCCCAAGATAGGAATTTGATTTTCATTCAGCATTTGTTGCCTGATGTGAATCAAAACCAAGAAGAATTGTTCAATGTATCTTGTGGGTTGTAACAATAGATTTATAGTTATATTGGTAGTCAAGTACACTGTAATAATGTACAGTATTTATGAGAATAAACAAATGTTTATACAATAATGTATTGTGTATTGTTCTGGGCAGTCTCACAAATGAGAAACGTTAGCTACAGTTTCTTAAATTTTGCTACAACTTTTTTGGTAAAATTCACTAAAATGACACAGAAAATTTTTCCCCAGCTTAAATTCTGTATATATACTTGTACAAGCCATTAATAGAGACAAACAAAATATTATATTTTTTCAGGAACAAATTCAGTAGTTTGCATTGAATATAAAGTACTGAATTATTGTTTCACAATGCTAATAATAAACATTGCAGGAGAAAAAGTGTTGGATGTAATAAGTAGTCTAACAGGGAGAGGATGAGGACAGAAACTAGATCCAAATGAAACTTGTGTCTGTAATAATACTTCATTAATACTAAAATGTAGAGAAGGACAAGAACAGATTATGTTTCCAATTTCAAGAAAAACACTCTTGAAAACTAGGGCGATGGTTGTCTACCAGTCTTAGCCATTAATTTCTGTTGAAACAGTGCAAAGTAACTAAGGCTCTCAACTGCTATGCCCAAGTTCAATTTCCTCTGGCCTTTTACATATTTTGTTTTTTAATGAATAGAAAATAAATTTTTTCTTATAATTATCAATAATGATAATTTCAAGTAGTAAATAATAATGATTAACTGCTATTTGAAATATTGTAAACAATACTGAAATCATATGTGAAAGTTAAACTTAATTGATTCTTGTAGAGGACAAACTAATGTTCCTTTGTATGATGAAATTTTCCTAAATAACATTGGGAGTTCAACTTTCCAATGCTTTTGCTTACCAACAGCATAGCAGTCAAGAGTATTAGCTGCTTTTCTGCACCACTTTGATGGAAATGTGTGGGTAAACTGGTAGCATTTGTCACCCTAATTTTCAAGGGTGTTTTTCTCAAATCTGGTAACATATTACATGCAAGTCCTACACTATATTCAGTACTAATGAAGAACTGCTGTAGAAATAAGTTTTGTTCATATCCATTTCCTGGTCCTCATACCCTTTTTCTTTAAATTTATCTTCATCTCAATTTAACCTACCATAACAGTAACTATGAACACTTTCTCATTGGTGCTTATAAATGACTCCACCAGTTTCTATAGAGATTTAGTGTTAGTTGCTTTTTCAACCATGTGCATGATGTTATATTGTTTTGCTGATACGCAAGTTTCAGAAACTATGGGACACCTTGTACATGTGATAGAAAAGCCGTTACATTAAATCTCCATGGAAACCAGTGTAGTGATATAACAACACTACACTTGGTCTCAACTTACCACATTAGAGTCTATGAGAATCAACAACACTACCACATCAATGAGATATTTGAAGAAGTGTAATGAAGATGCTGTAATTGAATAAAATTTTGCTGATTTTTTATTTATCCCTAACAATGAGTTGCATAACTTGTGTGGCACCATCTTTTATCAAATTTTGTTAAAAAAAATAATATTTTATAATAATTAATAATAATAAAATCTTAATTTTGAAAGCAGAGATAAATTTTATAAAAAAAAATATTGTAAGTGTTAAATGACAAAATAAAAATTTTTAATTTAATAGTATCAATACCCCTTAAACACAGGCAACTACACCAAATTTCATTTCTTAACACCTCAACCTGAGATATTAAATGAAATAGACACAAGAGTTCTCAAAATATGGAGAATCCACAAAAACATTGGATATTTGACATGATTCCAATACTTTCCCTTGTTATGTATTGTAAAGACTTCATAACAGTAAAATGGAAAAGTAAAATGCATAATACACATGGCATATACAGGTATAGCCAGCAGTAAAACTAGAAATCTTATTGGTTGATTACATTACACATCAATGGTCTTCCATAGAAGTTTCAGGAATATACAGTGGTACCTCAGTATATGTCTGCTTTAGAATATGTCCAATTTGGAATATGTCCTGTTTGGACGAAACAAATTTTGCTCAGTATACGACTTTTGTTTGGTATACCACTTATTCAATTATATGCACCATCTATGAACAAGTAGCACTATCGGTATACTAGACCAGACTAGATGTTCATGGTGCCACAGTTTATAACTTTGTGAAATTTCTTCTGATTTTAATTCGTAAGTAAAATTTTATTATTTTTATTAATCATG